GTCAGGAAGAGAAGAATTGATGATTTTACTTTAAACCTAACTCAGTTTGAATTAACATCTACTCCTGTTACTATTCTAATTGGAGTGAAGAAATATGGCGGAGGAATCCTCCTTCTTTGTCATTTTCTTTGTTTGAGAACTTTCACTTTCTATTTCTTACAGAATTTCTTGTCTTTTCCTTCCTGTTCAGTTGTTATTATTTTCATTGCTTATTTAGATATAACTCTTTGTCAGTTTGTACTCAACTCTGGAATTTATTGCTTAGCTAAGGAAATGGTTTATTTCTATTGTTTTTTTATTTCTATTTCTCTCCTGCTATTTTTAATATTTTAGCAGACAGCCATTCCATTTTTTGTTTTCTTTTTTTCATTTTGGCATATTTTGTTTGCTTCAGCTTTAATGATGTATCATGAAGTCTTCTTTAATTTTCTTTAGTCGTAATTTTGCAAGGAGGAATTTGACCTGAGGTACAATTAGCACCAAGGCTGTTTTTTTGCTGACTGACTAAGAGTTTCTGTGTCTTTGCAGAGTGCATAGCCAATTGATTTTATCATTTTCCATATGTAGAATTGTCCTTTATGTAGTTGGAAGGACATATTTCTTATAAACGTTGATATTTTTGGTGGGACTGTTCATCTCTGTCCTGCTTCATTTTATATACTGAGGCCAAATATTCTGATTAGTCCAGATGCTATATTATTTCCAACTTTAGCATTCATTCCATTATCCTATAATTACTGTATCATTGTTTTTTGTGTGTTGATAAGATACTTCAGGTTGCCATAGAATTGTTTAACTTCTGCTTTATATCCTGTGGTTAGAGACCTGTAATTTTATGGCTTGCCTTGGACTCAAATTGAGACCATTCTGTTGTTGTCTGAATTGTCTTGAAGGGTTACTTTGACAACATTGTTAATGATAGTTATGTGTCTATGCTAGAAGATCTGATGCTCTTCTAATGTGAAGTGACTCATTACGAGCCATTTGAGTTTACTGATTTGTAGAATATTAATATTTGATCTTGATATTTCTGTTCTGACATTATCAAGTTTGTCTTGATTCATGATTTTTACATTCCATATTACAATCTTTGCATTATCAAACCTTCCTTTTGCCATTCACTGTTGTTTAGTTCCAAAATCTTCCAACTTAGAGGTTTCTATTTCAGTATTGTATAATGTTTTAATTATCCTATTATTAATCTCTATTTGGTTTTTTTTAGCAGAATATTTCAGTGGGATGCCATTTTCTTTACTAGCAGGTTTTATTTTGTACGACCCCTAATCTGTAATCTGCCTTGATGGGTGACATTTTTAGAGTGTGTACTTTCTTATAGTATACAGTATAGGGTGTATAATCTCTTTATCATTACAAGTAATACCCCATGAAGAGGAATTGGGAATTGTCAATTGGAAAAAGATTAATTGCAATCAACATTTTATATTTGACAAGTATTTTGTCTATCCTACTTGCTTGGTTTTATTTACATTTTATGCACTGTGTTATAACAAATTGCATGTAGCAATATATTGCAAAAAGTAGATGTATGCAAAAATGTACAAATTAGAAAAGAAAAAACATTTCCATTTCACATCATTAATTTTTTAGGTCAATGAGTTTATTTCAGTCAATAGAATAGAAGCCAAATTACCTGTTATTATCACTGTAGATTGCATGCCAGACTGCAAGCAAATTCAGATTATTTATTTGTTTGTTTGTGTCCTACCTTTGTTATTTTTGCAGATAACTTAAATAATTGCTAGGGAGGAGCCTTTTTAATTGTCTTTTTTCCAACCAATAACAATAAGAGAGTTGGAAGGGACCTTTGAGGTCTTCTAGTCCAACTCCCTGCTCAGGCAGGAAACCCTATACCATTTCAGACAAATGGCTGTCCAGTCTCTTCTTAAAAACTTCCAGTGTTGGAGCATTCACAACTTCTGGAGGCAGGTTGTTCCACTGCTTAATTGTTCTGTCAGGAAATTTCTCTTTAGTTCAAGGTTGCTTCTCTCTTTGATCAGTTTCCATCCATTGCTTCTTGTCCTGCCTTCAGGTGCTTTGGAGAATAGCTTGACTCCCTCTTCTTTGTGGCAGTCTGGTTCCAAACGCCACACAACCCCCCCCCCCCACTGTCATTTGATCACATTATTTTGGGCTCTTGGCAACTGTAGTCACATGACTGCAATTTATAATGTTTTGGTGAAAACCAGCTTTTATTTCCAGTTTTAACAAAAACACCGCATAGCAAACAATGGGTTTGCTTAATGACCGTGATATTCATTTAACCATGGATTCACTTAATGATCATGATGATTTGCTTGACTGTGGCAAAAAAGGCAGTAAAATAGGGTTGGTCACATGATGACCCGCTTTATGACCATCATGTCATACAACCTTAATGGGCAGGCTCCATTATGGTCATAAATCAAGGACTATGTGAACAGTTGTGATGAATGGGGAAGTCACTTCTTTATAGAATTGATTGGACAAAGATTGGAGAATGGTTTGGGATGGTATACTACAGTGTTTCCCAAACTTGACAATTTTAAGGCATGTGGACTTCAACTCCCAGAATTCCACAGCCAGCGTTGCTGGCTGTGGAATTCTGGGAGTTGAAGTCCTCATGCCTTAAAATTGTAAAGTTTGGGAAACACTGGTATACTATAAGGTCTCCTGTCTTGGGCAGGAGTTGGACTAAAAGACCTCCCAAGTCCTTTGATTCGGTGCTATATATTTTCTTTTTCTTTGTAAAATTGTAAACTTCAATAAAATTGCTATTTTAAAAATTAATAGTTTGCACAACCACTGTTATTCATTCTTCATCTCCAGCCTTGCTTTCTTCCTTTTGTCAGATTTATTTAAATACTTTGCATATAAGTGAATAGCAAATACTGCAAGTAGACAAGAAATACACAAATATGTCTTTTGTTTTTGTTTGGAGAAAAAATGGGATTTGAATACACATGGAATGGGATGAATGGAAATATACTAAGGATACCAAACAAGAAGGAATATTTTGGCCAGAATTCTAATAAAGGTTACTAAAATGTGCCCAGTATTTTGTTTTTATTTAACAACCAATTACCTTGGCACCTACGTTGTCCTTGCTGTTACTGGGAATTGATTCAAATAAGTGTTCCAGCTACATCAGCAAAATCTCAAGAAGTGGTTTGCAGACCCTGGTGCAATTTTTACCCTTTTCCATTTTAATGGTAACATATATTATGACAGTCTCTCAATTAGTTTTTTCTTTATATTAAAAAAATGAATAAGTCTTTCACATAAAGTAATTCCATAAGCAGCTAATATTATCCACAAAGGATACCTTTGTGAATATGGTAAATATGGGGTTTCTTGATGTGATTCAAATAAGCTGTAATGGGATTTTTATTTTATTTTTTTTGCATTTTTTTGTTTATATAATGATCTACCATAGACACTCCCTACAGGTAGTCCTCAACTTACAACAGTTTAATGGCCATTCAGAGTTACAACAGCACTGAAAAAAGTGACATGACTGTTTTTCACACTTATGACCATTGCAGCATCCCGATGGTCACCTGATCAAAATTCCTTTTTTCTTCCAGATTCCTCTGCGTGTCAGAGATGTCTTTATTTATCACAACTATCTCCTTCAGTAAAACAGTTGAAATTAGCAAATGTGTGAATTCTGTTCAGAACTGATTCATCCACCTACTGGAGATCTGAATCAGAAGCTTAGGACCTGGAGCCAACTCTCAGAACTAGTGAGATCAAACATTCCACACCAGGACACTTGCTTTTATGGAAGATTGTATATATTGTCAGTTTCAGAAGAAACTAAACTAATTAATTTGTGAGCTGCCCAGAGTTGTCTCTGGACAATTCATTCATTCATTCATTTTGCCCATCTTGTCCAGAGACAACTCTGGGCAGCTTACTAATTAATTAATTGATTGATTGATTGATGTTAATTTTCTCTCCTCTTTGGAGATAATAGGGAATAACATCGTAATGGTTATGACAAGAGGGAAGGCAAGATAACTAAAATTATCTGGAAGGATAATTGCTAGTTCATGTGACTTTCTATGCGTGCACAAACTGGGAGATATTAAGAAAAGCAAAATTGGAATGAAATAATGTTTTTATTTCCAACATAGCAACTAAAATGTAATAGCTTGTATTTCTATATATGCTGTTTCACAGTCCCTAGAGTTATAATTATTTTCTTGCAGTAGGTACATTAAGTTTTTTCTTCAACTAAATCTATAAAGAGATCAAGGTATTAAGGTCTGTTCAGTGGTATCATGGTGAAAGCTAAGGAGTAAATTCCTTCTTAGGGCAAGAATTTATCACAAAACCAGTTCAATTATTCTCTTTATATGCCATACTTCTAATTAGAGACCACCTATTCACAGATATTCAGGTAGTGCAAGTCTTATTAAATAAGGGAAAATAGGCTATAGGACATGAAAGCTATAGAACTTCATTGGGCAAGGGATGCATAATGCTTCAGTTGTTACTTGTTTTGCTTGTTGGGACTCTTGTTGAGTTAAAGTGATGCCCATTTAGGCAGAATGCAGCAAAATCATGGAAAATAACAGTTTTAATAATACTGGTTCAAATGATGATCTTCAGCTGAGAATGGGGATTTTAAATAGATAAAGAAGTATTCCTTGTAAAAATGTTGTCTAAAAAATGATTTGCTATTCTCCAACCTGCTCTATCTTGTTGCCAAAATTTTATTATTATTTTTTAAATGCTACCTACGAATTGAGACATTTTTCATCTTGAAAATCAGTTTATAAAAGAAAGAAACAAGTTTAGTCTCTTCATCTCTGTATTGTTCAGTCTCTCTATTTCTCTCCCCCATTTTCCAAGACTCCTTCCAAGCTGGTAGAGGTGGCTAGCGTGTACTTCTGCTGAAGATTATATCAGGAACTTTGAAGTAGAACAGCGTGAGAAAGCAATTAAAATGTAACTAGAAAACTCTGCATTCAAATTTAATTCTTACCATCTCTTAGGTTCAAACTTCAAAACCAGATGATCGGAATATTTTCAGTTTGACAAGGTGAGAAGGAGCTTAGCACTTAGGAACAATTTATAGTCTTTTGTTATGGCTTTTATTATAACATTTAGTCATTTGCTGCTTTCCTGTATGAGCATTCATTTCCATTTTACAAAGAATACATCTAAAAACAATATAAACAAGAAAAATGGTAAAAAGAGAATATGGATAGAAGTGTGACAAAGGTATAGAGAAAAAGAAATAGATATAGAGAAAAAGAAAAGAAAACACAAATATATATATAAAGCATGATTTCTGATGTCTTCTTTCAAGAATATAAACAACACTTACATTCAACTCTTAGTTTAAGACTATAATAAAATATCTATTTTCCACAAAAAAGAAAAGGGGAAATTAAAAAATCTCTTTTCTCTTTTTTTAAATTTAAGACTCATCAAATCCATATGTCAATTTTATTTTTTCCATCTCCTGTAAAATGTCCACTGAGGGCTTCTAATTATAGATGAATTTCTTCAGTGACTTTTCTCTCACAAGGATTGTTAACTTGGCCTTCATTGCCAGTTCTGTCACCTTTATTAATTATTCCCCTGTTGTGGGTGTCATAGGATCTTTCCAACCCTAAGATATAAAAGTTATGCTACTGTTATCATATATAACAATAAATCACCAATCACATGCAGTTTTTTTCACTGTTTTGTCCATAGACCCTAACAAAAAGGTTTCTAATCTAAATTGTACATTAATGTTCAATTTTTTTTAATTACCTTACTAATTTCCATCCAATATTGTTCAGCTCTTGTACAAGTCCACCAAAGGTGATAAAAAATTCCTATTTGAGTTTGACACTTCCAACAACTATTTGGGGATACATTTTAGCCATTGTATCTAGGGATAAATATCATCTATACATCATTTTATAGCAATTCTCTTTGAGGTTAAAGCATAAGGTAAATTGCAGTTCCTTTATCTACATATTTTCCCATTGATCAATTGGTATGTTATATTGATTTTTTTTTGCCCATCTTATCATGCAATTTTTAAATAATTCATCTTCTGTTTCTGATTTTAACAAAAGCTTATAAATTTTAGTGATAAGATGGTCATCATTTGTACATGGTTTAATTTCAAAGGTAGTTTTATCATGTTTGAAATGGTATAATTTCTTACCAACTTTACACCTCTCTATGAATCGCAAATACGAAAACCATTGACAATTGAAACCTAGTGTGGATTTTAATTTAGTATAATCTGTGGAGTATTCCAATAAATCAGCATACCATAACTATTTTTGTCTGACCCTTTTCTATAATATGTTTTGTGGAGGGAAAACCATAAAGGCATTTTTGGGCATAGTCTCATATTTACAGTATTCCAAATTCTCAAAATGGCTCACCTAATAAAGTGGTTTCTAAAATCAAGATTAAAATTTAACCTTATGTACCATCTATATGCCTGCCATGCCATGTCAGTTTGTAGCCTTAACTTAACTCCAGAAGAGTTCTGCCAGAGTTCTCCTGACCTTTTAGATCTATTTTCCCTCCACTCTCTGGCTTATTGCTTATTATCCCTCTCTTTGACAAATGAATAGAGATGTGATTTATGGAAGTTCTGGTGATAGCCTGCTATTTTATTGTTTGGTGGAGAGTGTTATTTATTATGCTTAGTCTCTCAGGGGTAGTTGCATTTCACTATAGGTTACTATTTCTATTCCTATCACAGTCTCAACAGATATGCAAGAAAATGGTCAATTGAATTTAGGCATAGTGGTTTTTGCTGGGTAATTTTTTCATTGCCAATAAAACTGACAACAGAATTAAATGAGCCTGCTTGCGAAGCAGGCAGCATATTCTCCTGCAGCAGGATTGTTGACAAACTATTCAAAAGTAATCTTGCAGTGTATCAACTTTTATTCATTTCTTTATGTCTGTGCATTGTTTTGGAAATGGAGTGCTGTGTGGGTATTAGGCAGCAAATTCTATTTGGCAATATCCTGTTGAAGTCTATGGCAAGAATAGAGGAGTCTGGATATGTTTGTACATGTATTCCTTTTATCACTAACTGCTGCTCGACAGAGAATGGCATGGTAGGAAACTGGAACATGCTTAAATGGCCAAACTTCTCTGTTTTTCAGATCAGGGGTGTACTTCTTGGACATTCATGTCAGCAAATAAGGACCTATGGACCTGGAGGAGCTGACATTTAGCAGCTCTTTCATAATAATTAAAGTATGCTGGTTCCTAAATTATAAAAAGTATTTCTTTCTACATGATCCAGCATTCTGGAATAGAGGCAGACATTTGTATTCACTTGAGCAGGCTTTAAGATTACGTGACCAAATCTGAGAAGTCTCATTTTCTCTTGTGCTTATCTCTTAGGGAAAGCAGATACAAACTTCTATCGTTCTGATATTTGGTGATCTGTCTGCTGTTACTGTATGTTGCTCTTCATGAGATTGATTGATTGCATATATATATATTGTCAGTGTAGGCCCAACTTAGTGTCCATATAGATAGATTTTCTCCATGATAATCTGTCCTGAACCTGGACCTTCAGCTGTGTTCATTGCCATTGTAACTGAGTCCATCCACCTTGCTGCTTGGTCATCCTTTTTCTTTCCTCCTCTCCCAGGATCAGAGCCTTTGCCAGAGGGCTGGGTATTTGCAAACTATGTTTGAATCAGAATACTGATAGGTTATTACTTTGCAACATAATTACTTCTGCAATTTTAGAAATGGGGTTAATTATATATTTATGCATCAGGGTTTTTTTTGACATTTCAAAGCAATATGCAATTAGCACAAACAAAACTGAAAATATGTTTAAAACTAAGTAAAAGAACAATTTTAAAAGTGCAATTAAAAACAATTTTCAGTTTGGCATTGAAAGATTGTAGCATAGATGCTAAGAAACTGTGCTAAAATGCTCTTTCTCCTGCAATTGAGCTTTTCTTTCATAATGCCTCTGATAAAAAGTTCATCTGGAGAAGACCTTTGTGTAATTATGCACTTGGAGAACATAAATAAGAAAGAACAGTTGTAGGGATATCCCCACATACCCTTGAAAGACAATATAAAAGTACATTTTATCAAGTTTCCATCTTCCGATCAGTCTTTTCTAAATTTTCTTGTTCCGTTGTGTTGGATGCTTCATAGGATTTCAGTCTTTTAATCTGCTAAACTGAATTTGGGAGTCCTTAACCTCTCAATTTAGTCTTCAATAGACATTGATGAGGATGGGGGCATTTCTAATGCCATGGACAACAAATAAAATTGGGAATAAAAACCATAATGCATATTTTATACAGACTGTATATCTAATTGAATTATTTATTTTAATTAAAATAACTTAATTCATTAATTAATAATTAAATAATAAATCATTTGTTCTCCTTTTTTTAGCAGATTTAAGACTTTTGTAATCTTGGAATTGAGTTCCCCATAGAGAACTGTATGACGTTGGGGTTATGTATTTCATATATAATGGTATTTAGCATGTTGACGTTTAATTTCCATTGTGTTTTGGGGTTGCAGGTTTTGGAAGTGGTGCGCTCCAACTATGATACACTTACCTTAAAATTACAGGATGGGCTTGACCAATATGAGCGCTACTCAGAACAACACAAAGAAGCCTCTTTCTTTAAAGAGCTGGTGAGTTTTAACTTTCTCATAAAAGGGTCATATATTTGGCTCATGATCCAGCTTACAGTTGCAGCAATAATGCAACAAAAACTGCCTGTATATTCACAAAATGTATGAATTATATCACTGTAGAGACCTGGTTATTGATTTCAGTTGGATGGTGGGCAAGTATATTTTAATACATGTTTTATCTCTGCTTGGTTTGGGATTCCTTGAAGTCTTGAAGAAAGTTGGAGATAGGTCTTGGAGAGCTATCATGAAGACTTTTCTCCAAAGCAGAAATATCCCGTGCTTACTAGATCGGCATTTTACAATAGATCTATTGATAAGGAGAAATAAAAATGTTTTCTCCCCAAGCAGACTATGCTGCAATTTGAAATGCTCTATTAGGATATCCAACTCTCACAAGTTGTGTGTACCAAGAACTGACTGCTTATTGGACTTGTGCAAGCAGCCGTGATTCATTTTGACAAGATGCTTTGCACTATGAAAATGAGGCCATTTAATTCACTGAGATGAAGTGGCAATAGGAATTGCCTGGGCATGATGCCCTTATACCTTTTGACATTTGCAAAAGTCACTTTAGTCAGGAGGAATTGTGCTGCTTTGGGAAGCAGTTTCAAGGGGATACCTCACTAAACCTTCATTGATAGGCATAGCTTAGTTTCCTATTCTCCCACCGCTCCAAAATGTTTTTTCCACTCAAACTTATTCCTGTGCTTTATTGGGCATTCCTTGCCAGGTTATTCCTATATTCTTCATTGCAAATATAAAACAATGGCTGCTAGCTACCATTAATGCTTTTCATTTGTACAATACTGTGTCATGATAGTAACCTGTTCCTAAATTATGGAGATTCTCAGTCATCCAGGTCATGGTTGTCCCAAAGGTGCTTTTTCAAGAAGCAATTGGACTTCCTTGTTTTTCTTTGAAGATGTTTGGTTTGTCATCCAAGAAGCTGAATAGAAGGGGGGGGAAGCATCTTTGGGCTTTTCTTAAAATTACATGGAAACAACAATGCTTGTTCCCATCTGTGTAGCAAGAGCACTCTTATCCTCAAATGCTGTGTTTGAGGATAGGAGGGAGCAAATATGCTGCTTCTGTTCTCTCTTTTTTCCTTTGGCCACTGTCACTTTTTTTTAATATCCTTTTATTCATTAGGTGAAGAGCTTTATCTTTGTTTTGATTAAAATGAGGACATTGTTTTTCCTAATTCATGGAAATTGTGGTTCTTTGAAGAAACTATTCTGATAAACACTAAGAGTTCAATTCTTTATCACTGAGAATAATTCATGTCACTGCCAACAAATGTTTCTCTCTCTCTCTCTATCTCTCTCTCTCTCCCCCCCCCCATCTCCCTAGAGACTAATTTAGCCTCATCCAAGCCAACCCTTTACTGAAAACTACAACCTCCTGATATTGCATTTCCTCAGTTTACTTTCAAGGTAGAAGAAAGGAATCAAGCTGATCCAGCGCAATTCCCTGTTGACAAAATACCTTACTTCTCTTTTTACCATTACAATGTTTTTTTCTTTTAGGTTCACAAATAGGATAGACCTTCTCTAGAATATATATTTTCATAAGATTTTGTCACGTAGGTTGCTGAATAAGGTCAAAGCATGTGGATCCCTCTTCTACTGTTTACCTTTTGTACAAAGTGTACTTTTCTAATTTATTCATTTATTGTGATTATTTTATTTAAGATTGTTTTTCATTGTTCTCTCGTAAAGCACTCTGGCTCCCCAGAGGGAAAACCAATGTAGAAACAGCATAAATAAACACTGTGCAGAATGATAGCATAATAGACAAATGCAAAAGCCGCCGCCTCACTCTTCCTTACAATGTATAGATGTTTGTATCAATCGTAGTCATCTCCCAATTTCCATTACTGCAGGACTTTTCCAAGCTGTGGACCAGACTCTTGGTATATGATTTCATCCTGAATTTACCTCCATGTGATTCTGCTCATTTCACCAAAACTCTGCTTGGTCATACATTTCAGGAAACCTACAGTATGAATAGAATAGAATAGAATAGAATAGAATAGAATAGAATAGAATAGAATAGAATAGAATAGAATAGAATAATGAAAGAACGGAATAGAATAGAATAGAACAGAACAGAACAGAACCTTGGAGGTCTTCTGGTCCAGCCCCCTGCTCAAGCAGAAGAACCTATACCATTTCAGACAAGTGACTGTCTAGTCTCTTCTTAAAAACCTTCAGTGATGGAGCACCCACAATTTCTGAAGGCAAGCTGTTCCACTGGTTAATTGTCTTCACTGTTAGAAAGTTTTTTCTTAATTCCAGGTTGCTTCTCTCTTTGGTCAGTTTCCAACCATTGTTTCTTGTCTTGCCCTCTGGTGCTTTGGAGAATAGTTCGACGCCCTCTTCTTTGTGGCAGCCCCTCAAATACTGGAATACTGCTATCATGTTGCTCCTGTTTCTTCTTTTATTTAGACTAGCCAAACCCAAGTCCTGCAGCTGTTTTTCATATGTTTTAGTCTCCAGCCCTTTGGCCATTTTAGTTGCTCTTCTCTGAACTTTTCTCCAGCATGATGACTGAAGAATCCACCAATGGGTTATTTCAGTCCTCCTGCCCAATCAGACCAATTTGTCAAGTTGTCACACCTCCTCATTATCTGGGTCTTCCAGTTTCATTTTGGTCTTTCGCCCATGAGGACGTGATATCTTGATTCTCGGTACTTTGGAGCAGGTCAGGTAGATTTACAAACTCATTGGTGGATTCTCAAAATTTGGGGAACTAGTACAGAGTATTTCCCTTCTGGGGATTCTGATTCTACTCCCTTACTTTCTGGGTTCGAGTAGGACTCCTCTCCAGGACTGGGGGGAGGCGTCTTTTTCCCTTCCCTGTTTTAGCATTTTACTAAGCTATCACTGGGACTCCTGATAGAGCTAGGCAGAGTTTCCCTTTGGGGCGCTTTAGGGGGATCCCTTTCTTATCTCCCTCACTAGCTCACGTTTTGGGGATTGTCGTCTGGTGGCCATTTTGAAGCCTTGTGGCTTCTCTTATGACCAGGCCCGGTCAGGGATCTTAGTGGCGGCTGCCATTTTGGATCGCAGAACTTCCCTTTAGACGACAAAGTTATTTCACTACAGTGATTTTGTGACTTCGTTAGGACAGCGACGGGAGAAATTCATTTATTGGTGTTTCCTTGCTGTTAGGCTTGTTTGTGGCTACCACTGAAGCGGAGCTGCCTCGTGGTGCAGCGACAAGCATTTTCTTCGTGCCTAACAGCTGTTAGGCGCGTTTTTTCAAACTTCGTTCCCTGAAATTGCAGCAAAGCCTCAAATTCAACCATTGGGTTTTTGGAAACATCTGAACTGTTTTAGGAGGCTCCGTTAACCTCCACTACCTTCAGACTCCAACCTCCTCCCCCCCCTCCCCATTCCCTCACCACTCAGAGTGTCCGCCATTTTGGGGACCTTTTTCCTGAGAGAACCACCCATTTTCACCCAGGCTAGGACACCATTTGGTGGCTATCACTTAGTAGAGTTTAACATTTACCAAAGTTCCACATTGTTATCATTGTTACTAATTTGCCTTGAGCCTTGGTGTTTCAGAATTTATTTTAGGATTGAGGACAGAAAGGTGGAATTAACAGCAGCAATGGTACTTCAGGCCTGGTCGCTATTGCCTGTCTGCCCCTCTGCATCTAGTGGCTGTTCCAAGTTCCTGACCATCGCCACTATTGTGGGACACGCGTGATTCACCTCAACCACTGTGGATTGACGAGCGCTTCTACGCCAGGTGTGGGTTCAGGTTAGCCAGTGGGCCGACTCACGCCAATACACTTGAAGTCAGTTCCCTCTTCACGGGGGCCTCTGACGTCCCTTGCAGACTGAGTCAGTCTCAAAGTTATCTTTGGGTTGTATCTCGGTGGAAATGGCAGAAAACACTGAACCAACTCCTCTGGAAGCAGGCATTACTCCCGTCCAAGCTGAGCTGGCACCTGAAGCACCTTCAGGTAAGGCCAAATCCAAATCTAAATATGGCAGGAGGGTTGGCAGGGCAAGCAACAGGCAGACCAACCGTACACACAAAGCTCTGGAGAAGCAATTCTCACGAGCCCAACGCTTGGCTGCTGAGAAGGGTGTTGCATTGTCAGCCTCAACACCACCTGAAACGGGAGCGCCTCAACCGTCCACATCCAGAGCTTGGTCATCGGAGAACGTGCATCAACAGGTCTCGACTCAGACCCTTGGTCAGGTAGGACCACCCCTGTTTGGGGAGGACCTTGATTTGCCAGATACGTCGACAGCTCCCACTGCTGATGTTGGACCACCTGCTGAGGGATCACGGCCTCTGCTAGAGCAGCCTTTCTCCGACCAGCTTAAAGCGTGGACAACAGGCCGTGTCCCAAGCCATGGTGTCAACGAGACACCAGAAGGTGTTTCCCATTCCGGGACCTTCTTCTTCCTCTGCACCAACAACTGCCAAACGTCCTCCCCTGGATCAGTCAGGTATGGTTTCCCCATCCCTTTCTCATGTTTCCGACTCTGAGGTTTCAGATTATGAGGAAGGTAAGGACGGTTGGTCAGATTGTGAGGAACCCACTTACGAATCTCAATCTATGTCAGAGCTGTTTAATTCTTCACTTTTTCCTGAATTACTGCGCAGAGCCTGCGAGGCTAGTAAGCTTTCCTCATACCCGGTCTCAACTCCTCAACCTTCCTTTGATCAGGTATCTAATCCCCTGTTTGCCGAGCCAGTAGACAAACACCTCCAAATTCCCTGTCCCCCATTATTCCTTAAAAATATTCAGGGACAGTGGGAATCACCAGCTGCTCAACCTACTCAGGGCGCGGCTGAGCACAAAATAGCCAAAGACCTTAGCGGACTTATTAGAAGTTCCAAAGGTAGATGAATCTCTGGCCCCTTTATTTTCAACCGCCAGCCTCCCGGCAGATGTATCGGACGCTCTTAAGGCAGAGGATAAGAAATACGAAATGGCCTTGCGCAAGGCTCATTTGGCATCTGCCTGGGCA